CCATAGTTATTTGTTTTTAAGTGTCATTTACATCACATATTTTGTTTCTTGTCGTGAAACAGCTGATAATACTTTAGGCTAATTTTCTTATATCCACTCTTTAGTTGTGGAGATGATTATTTTTCTGTTTTAATGAATTTTCATTTTTTCCTAAATATATTTGTATTATATCTAGGTTTTGGAATAAATGGCGGTATACATGACTGCTATCATGGAGTAGCATGTGAACGTGGTGGAGGGGACAAAAAATGCGATAAATTTTGTCACGATTACAATATCGATGTGGCAAGTGTGAATCATACAAAGGATGTTGTTGTAATTTTCAAATTAATAATAACACCGGTCCAAGATAAGATATAATGATATATTTATATTTATATAAAATTTCCATTTTACAATATTTTGAAGAGGGAAAATAAATAGTCTAAAATAGCAATTAATAACTCTATAAATGTAGAAAAAATACATAAACTTGAAAAATAAAGTAAAACCGTTTAGATTATAGGTTCAAAATGATTTATAGTAATCAAATGCAATTGTAAAAATACAAAACCTCATATATATGTGACTAAATACTAAAAATTCTATTAGAAACTTTGTATTTGAATTAATTATTCATATAATGATTAAATTTATGTATTTGTATGAATCTTTGAGTATTTTAAGTAGGTATTCCGTATTGGTGTCAGATTTTATATATTTTGTGGTTGAATTTATAGTTTGCATACTTCAGTTTGTTTTTAGTTCAGTAAAAAAAACCTAAACCCCAAAACAATGTGTATTTATTTAAGAATCTATTCAGATCATTTCCTTCGGATCCGTGTGATTCAGTTTTTCGTACATGCCTAAGCTTCCACGGTATAACCAGAGGAATGAAAAGACAAAAGCTAACCCAATGAACATTAGTAACAGAATAATCTAAAACCCAAACTATATCAGGTAAAAGTCTGAAGTAAAAAATTAATATTTGTATTGTATAATTATGTCTTATATGTGTATTTTTCTACTCTATGCGTGATTCCTCATACTTTTATGTTACAATCATTTGACACTCAATGAGAATGTCTTTCACTGTTTTGAAACATTTATATCAACTATTAAGCTAAGTAATTATGTGATACAATCACTAACATTTGATAAAGATACTCGATTTTATCTATGCAAAATTGACATATTTAACTATTTTGGAAATAATAAATGTCATTTTAAATTAAATATAGTTAAGTAAGAATTATCCTCTGTACTTTTATTACTATAAATATGTAAGTAAATATTGTAAAAACTTTATAATTTAAATCTTTGACCAAGAAAATCTTTATATTTTACATTTTTGACCAAGAAAAAATACATATTTTTGATGTGTATGTGTCACTATATATAGTTAAACTTTAAGAAAAGAAAAATATAAAACTGACTAAAAATATCATAGAAATGGGTATCACCACGAAAACTATAGTTATGTTTTTTTTTAAGTGTCATTTACATCATATCTTTTGTTTCTTGTCGTGAAACAACTGATAATATTCTAGGTTGATTTTCTTATATCCACTCTCTAGTTATGGAGATGATTATTTTCTATTTTATTGAATGTTCATTTTGCATAAATATATTTGTATTATATTTAAGATATGGAATAAATTGTGGTGTACATGACTGCTATCATGGAGTAGCATGTGAACGTGGTATAGAGACAAAACATGCGATAAATTTTGTCACGATTACAATTATCGATATGGCAAGTGTTAATTATACAAAGGATGTTGTTGTAATTTTCAAATTAATAATAACATCGGTCCAAAATATTTTGAAGAGGGAAAATAAATAGTCTAAAATAGCAATTAATAACTCTATAAATGTAGAAAAAATACATAAACTTCAAAAATAAAGTAAAACCGTTTAGATTTTAAAACTTTCTTGTTGATTCATCACTAATATGGCTAAGATGGTGACAATACAATGTTACGTTGTTAAGGCTACAAAATATGGAATTTGGGAGAAGATTATTAATGACAAAGAGGAAGATGACAAGGTTCTGAAACATCATCAACACAACTTGGTATACATTGTTTATGTTTATTGATTTCAATCAGGGAGAAAATCTAGATCATGGCAAGTTAAGACAGAAACAACACATGTTATCTCCTGCAGTGGAAGTGTATGGTTGCGATGTAATATATGGATCGTATCCAATGATCTCCTAAAAAAAGAGGCTTTTGGTCACAATGCATGACAGATGCACGACAGCCAAAAACAAGATCATTTAAGATCAAGAACGAAGTTGGATACATTTAGCATATCAGTTTATACAACAAATGAGTTAGTTAGCAATCGTGTTATTACTTTTTCAATTTCATAATCTTCTTAAAAATGTGTTGTTTATCTCTTATGTTTCATATAAACACTAAGATATGACTTGCGCCTTACACATGATATATGTATGTAATTAAAATATAAAATTTTAGTATTGACAATTTTAAGAAGATAATCAAAACACTGCTGCATAACGGTTCGCCCTAGACTTTTCTCTCTGGCACACCACCCAAGACGCCGCCGTCTCCATCCGATCTCCATGGATCCACGCTGCAAGGTCTCCTCCGCCGTCGCTTCCGTTCGAAACTCCTCTTAAGAAGCTATGCTTCTCCTCATCGGGACTCCACCTAGGATGACTCGACGCGTTTCCTGGAGAGGTGCAGAACTCTTGAAAGCTCAAAGGTCGAGCCTTTCACTTACCTCTGCCTCTCCCACGCCTAGCTCGTTGCCTCCGGTGAGATCTCGTCGTTTCAATGTCCCAGAGCCTGCTTTCGTTTCTGTGACGAAGAGCCCTCCTGTTCTACCCTTGAAGCCAGAATCTCCAGATCTGTGTCCACTGAAACAGATAGAACGGTTCCTTAAAACCTTCTCTCTGCCAAATCCGTCTCCGCCAGATCTGCCGTTTAAAGCTTCCTCTCCACCAGAACCACCTGACCCTCCTCTTAAAGCTCCTTCTCTGGTTTTCCCTCCGGAACCTCCAGACCCTCCAGACGTTGCTGTATCTCTCATCGCTTCTCTGCATTTCTTCGACACCTCCAGACCATCTCCTCAAGCTTTGTTTCAGATTTCACCTCTAAAGCCTCCATATAGGATAACGACAAAGAGTGTAGGTGGTGGTGGTGCTCTTGTGTCCGTAAATGACACTTTCTTCGCCTATGAGCTTTTATCTCTTGTGATATACAGGTATCTAATTGGATGTGTCGACTGGCCTTTATTCAGTTCTTGTTTCGACCTTCCTATCTCTCCTCCTCGTATGGTTCTTCATGTACATCTTAGCTCTTTCTTGTCCATTTATTCTGCTACTGTAGAATGGTTTAGACAGCTATTTGTGTGGATACCGTTGATTTTGAGGTTCATAACTTTAGCCGGTGATATACCGATGAGTTTAGTTTCATTTGGTTCTACTTTTGTGACCTCTAGTAGTGCTTTTATCGCCTTGGCGCGATCGGCTGCAGTATGCAGTTCTCTTACGAGTTCTATTCTGGGTGTTGGTATTATGTTCGTGTATCTCTCTTCTTGGTGGCAGGTAGAAGAGAAATCCATCTTTATCTTTAGCCCGATGAATATGGAAGCGGCGGGTTATGATTTCCCGTTTGTCCCTCGTTTGAATCAGTCTTCTTCCCTAATATTTCACCCTATATGGAGTGAATTGGATGAACAAGTTTCATTGGTATTGCAAGGATCTTCCTCCCATCGAATACTAATCTCTGCGTATGGTGCAGTGTGTGTGGTCCTACGGGTTACACTAGATGCGATCTTTGAAGTAGCTTATGATATTGTTGTAATACAATGTCATATGGTTTCTTTTTGTGATTTGCATCGCCATCCTATCTTTTATGTTCTTGTTGTTGTTTGTTTGGCTGTTAATAGCCTTCTTGTATCCTCCTTCATTGGAGTGTAAACACTTTTAATATGAATGCAAGTATTGTTTGATCAAAAAAAAAAAAGTATTGACAATTTTAAAATTTACATATGATTGTTTTTATATGTATTTAAATTTTAGAATTTTGGAATTTTTATATAATTATTTATACGTAGAATCAGAAACAATTTTTTTAGAACTCTAGATTAAAGCTTAGAATTTAATGGACTCGATTTCATAGATCTTTTCACTTTTCAGTGCCGAGTCATGAAAAATAAACGGAGTGTCACTGGGCTTGATTGGTAGAGTATTAGCAAGTTCCCTAATGTTTTCTTAAGAAACAGTTGGTAAAATATTTTGCATTTAAAATATATAAATTTTCAAAATTAATTTAATATAATTTATTTATTTGTCTAATAATATTAGAAAATTATATTTTTATAATTATTTAAAAAATAATTTTATAAAAAATTAAGTCAAATTTTAAATTATTTTTAGAAAAAAATATTATAAGTTTTTCATGATTTTTTGCGTGAAAACATAATTTTATGATTTTTTCAGAAAACACACAATATCGCGAAAACATGAGATTTCAGTTTTTGTGGTAAAAATATGATTTTATATTGTAATTTAAAACAAGTTTTTTTAAGTTTTGGTTTTGCGTCATTAAAAATAAGTTTTGGCTTCGCAATTTTGGCGGGAAAATCTAATTTTACTATTTTGGCAAAAATATTCGATTTTACTATTTTGGCTGAAATTTCGTTTTGCGATTTCGATGGGAAATTCAATTTTGTGATTTTGGCAGTGAAAATCGACTTTTGCGATTTTGGCGAGAAATTCGATTTAATTTTTGTAGTTTGGGTGGAAAACGAGATTTTTGGATTTTTGTACACGTGTTTTTTTGCAAAAAAAAAAAAAAAGATTTTATAGTCGTGAAGAGAAAACATAATTCCCTCTTTTTAGAATATATCTAATAATAATTAATACAGACTAGCTATTTTATATATTTTTATTTAAGGATATTAAAGTTTTTTATCTTTGGCATCTTATGCTGATGCAATTGTGTAACGACATCTGAATATTTGCATTTAGATTTCTTTTTCTTTTTATCTGAACAAATTTGAATTTAGATTTGGATGCCGCATCTAGCATTAAAAACGATCAAATGCCTTAACATAAATAGGCTATTAGAGCCAGAACAGAACCATACGTGTGTCACGATTGGAATAATAATAAATTTCAATTAATATGGTTGAAAGAGTAACAACCGTTGAAAGAGTAGTAGCAACCGTTGATTAGTCTTCCTTGTCCTGAGAGACGACTTCAATCTTCAACTGCTCCTCCAACTTTCTCTTGTTCCTTCTTCTTTCAGGAAAAATAAAAAAAGGTCACATAAGCTTTGGAATCTCCAATGAGTTCCAATAAAAGATGGAGATTCAATCTCCAAACAGCATTCTCCATCATCTTCCTCACCTTTCTTCCTCTAAATCTCAAAACTCAAGGTACTTTGTTCCACATCCTTATCTCTGTCTCTCTATACAATCTTTTGCGTCTGTGACAGTTTATTTCCTGAAGAAACTGCAGAAGTCTTTGATCCTTCTAAAGATCACTTGCTGATTCAATCCGATGCTACTTGGAACCGTCGCAGCTTGGCAGAGAGACCACCTCTTCCGGGGAAAGGTTCTGCTGCGGGTGCCTCCCCTCCATCTCCTCCTCAAGCATTTGCGGACTCCACAAAATCACCTCCGCCACCAGAAACTCAAACACTAGCAGGAGAAGATGGAACACCGAGCCCTCCTCCTAGTAGTGTTAGGACAGCACAAACTCCAAACCCACCTTCTGTTCCTCCCCCTCCACCTCCACTTCCAAGAACTAAAAAGACTCTTAATCTTTCTATGATCGTGGGCATAGTCGTTGGCGTGTTCACAGTCTCAGTGGCATTAATCATCTTCTTTCTTATACACACCCGGAAAATTCCAATCAAACCTTGGACCAGCAGTGGCCAGCTTCAAGATGCTCTTATTACAGGCAACATACACTCCTCATTCTTTACTCTCTATCCTTCTTATCTCTGATTCTATAGTTTTTGCACTGCCGCAGATGTTCCAAGGCTGCAGCTATCAGAGCTACAAGCAGCATGTGAAGATTTCAGTAACATCATTGGCTCTTTCTCAGACGGTCCCATCTATAAAGGGACTTTGTCCACTGGTGCTGAAATTGCTGTTGTCTCCATCGCGTCTGGTTCTCGTGCAAACTGGTCTACCTCTATGGAAACACAGTTGCTACATAAGGTGTGTGATGGTTTTGAACAGAGACAGAGTTTGGCATTGCCACTGGAAAATAACTGTGCTGTCTCTGCAGATTCGTGAGTTATCAAAAGTGGACCACAAGAATTTTCTGAATGTGATTGGGTATTGCCATGAGAACGAGCCCTTCCACAGAATGCTTGTTTTCGAATACGCTCCTAATGGATCACTCTCCGAGCATCTGCACTGTAAGTACTCCATCACATCAAGAACACCTTTTAAAAACTTAACACAATCCAATCTGTAAACTGTTGAACTGATCTTTCATGGAAGCTCAACATGCGGAGCACTTGGACTGGCCTACCAGACTCAGAATCTTCATGGGAATAGCTTACTGTCTAGAGCACATGCACAATCTCAACCCACCCATCTTGCACACCAATTTGGACTCCTCTTGTATCTACCTAACCGAAGATAACGCCGCCAAAGTCTCAGATTTTTCTGTCCTGGACTTCATCTCTCCCTCCAAGGAATCCTCCTCGAGCAAGAACCTTTTAGAACACTCAATGCTTGATCCACAAACCAACGTCTTAAACTTTGGCGCCCTTGTGTTTGAAATCATTACCGGGAGGCTCCCAGACCCTGACTCTTTGTTTTTTGAACGCAAGCCGGCGAGAGATCTTGTAGACCCGACACTGGAAACGTTTCAGGAGGATGTTGCTGAGAGATTGTTGGAAGTGGTTAGGCAGTGTATGAATCCCTACTCAGTTCAACGGCCAAAAATGAGAAAGGTTGTGGTGAAGTTGAGAGAGATCACAGGAATAGAAGCCGATGCAGCACTGCCTAGGCTATCTCCACGATGGTGGACAGAGATGGAGATCATAGCCACATATGGAGACTAAAGAGAAAGGAGCCGCTCTTTAGGTGTCCCCTGTAGATACACAAATGTCACTGTGAGAAAGATGATAATAGATATAAATACTGTACATATATATACGAAAAGTTGCATATGCATAGAAACATATGGTAAGATTAATAATGGCAGTTACTTTACAACATTAATGTATAAAAATATAAAATGTGTTGATACCTTAGAACTAATCTAAGCCAACAATGGTGTTGTCAATGGGTGACGCTTGATCCTTGGATCTGCTGTAGAGATGAAGTGTCTCGGTGTGGTTAGGGTCCAAACAGAGAGCAGCTTCGCAGTCTTGTGCAGCCAATGAGAGGTTTCCCGTTGCCTCGTGGAACGCTGCTCTGAGATGCAGCGTTTGCAGTTCCGGTCTGAAAGCAATGGCCTTTGATAGCTCTTCCACTGCTTCTGTCTCTCTCTGATCATCCATCAGTACTGCCACACAGACAAACGCTCCTTTTAACTACTAGAATTTAAGAGATTGTTAACATGCAACGGGAAGAGTTAGTTAGTTACCGGCAGCTCTGTATCTGTAAGGATAGGTTCGCAGAGGGTCAAGTGTTGTGGCCATGTCGAGATCCTCTCTGGCTTTCTCACGTTCACAGTACTCAGACCGTTTCTCGTAGGCTGCTGCTTTGCTAAACGCCTTCTCAATCAGCTTTGTCATCTCCTCACAGGCTTCTTTACGTTGATTCTTCATGAAATAAACTCGGGCAAGCCCTTGATGGGCACGAGTGTGTTTGATCTCTAGAGCGTTCTTATATGCAGTTTCAGCTTCATCTAGCATCCCACAATCGATGTAGATGCTCCCAAGATTGTTCAGAGCCTGAAGGAACATAACCAAAAGATCAATAAGAAAACAATATTAAGAGAAATTAAAATATTGAAATGCTAACCTGTCCTTTGCGTAGCCCATCCGAAGGACACTTGAGAGCTTCCTCCAGAACCTGAGCAACACAAGAGCTCTCGTCCGGATCAAGATTCTTGTCAGCTAGAACATAAGCTTTGAGGAAAAATGCTTCAAAAGAGCGTTGAATGGAGATTGCCTTCTCAGCTTTAGTAAGAGCTTCGTCCACATAACTCATGTCGTATAAAAGCCACCCTTCGTAAACCAACCTCTCTGCCTCAGAAGTAGCCAAGTTCAATGCCATTCTCAAGCACCTCATCGCAGCTCCTTGACAATTCAATCTGTCAAAGAACACAAGACAAAGTAGCTTTTGTCAAAACTCATAATCACAGTTTGCCTGAGAAACAAAAGAAAAAGAATCTTATTACCTTAAGAGAAGAAGAGATTGTCTAAACCTCAGAAAGTTTTTGCTGGGATCATTCTGAAGCATCTGATGAACAACACCCAACGATCCAACATCATCCACAGCTGACCATCTATCGTAAAGCCTCACCCAACAATCTGCTTCGCTCTCTACTTCACTACATTGCTTGGTCAGAGCTTCCACCAAATCATCTCTCATTCTCCCACCAAACAGAACATACTTCGGCTCTAAAGACAGCACTGCTCTGAGATCTCTCAAACAACTCTCACGGTCACCAACGGCTAAAAACAGCCACGCCCTCAGTTCTAGACAATCTGGAGTAAGCTTGAACTGAATCAATCTATCAACCTCCTCGAATGCTTCTTTAACCTGCTTCTGTTCGAACTTCATCACAGCTCTGTAATTGTAAGGAAACGTCAGCGTCGGGTCAAACTCAGTGGCGGTTTCAAGGTCTTTTAGCTTCTCATCCCCAACGTTGTAAAGAGACCTCTCCTGGTACATCCATCCATGTGGCTTGTGCTTAGAGATGAGATAGTTCATGAGCTTGTACGCTGAGTACCTCTTCCCTTGTTTATATTCAGTTCTTGCTACCCCAGCCAATGAGTAGACATGCCCTAAGCTTGAAGCTAATCTGAAATGAAACTGAGCCGCCTTGTAATCCTTTCTCTCAAACAGAACACACCCCATTTGATGCAAGGCCACAGCCTTTTGCCAGTTTGTGCGAGCAAACTCTCGGGTTCTCTCTAGCAATACAAGCATAGTCTCCGTTGTGAGTTTCTCTTCCATCCCTACTTGGCTGAGCAAGTAGTACAACATGAACAAACACTCCGAACCCAAAAAGGCCAATCCTTCTTTTGCCTCAGAACTGCAGAAGAATCTCATCACTTTGGAGTTGTGTAGAGACTGAGGAAGCTCTCTCAGAAACACCTGCAAGCAAGCAGACAAAAGCAGCTTCGTACGTTCCTCCAACGCGTACTCTACAAAGGCCAAAGCCTTATCGAGATCAGTAACAGATGAAGCCAAACGAGACTCACAAGCAGACTTGAGCTCGTCACAACAGAACTTGCTAGCTAATCCAAGAAGCTCAAAGACAGTTTCAACACGAAACAAATCAACTCTTCTGAGTCTACTGTATATGTTCAACGCCACCATAGCTTCAACTGAGATCCCATTCTCCGAGAAATCAATCTCAGAAGCTCTTGACTCCACGAAAGAACCATACAACATAGCCTCAAAAGGACGCGAAAGCGCAGCTATCCGTGACCTAACACACTTAGCCTTCTCTAAACCAACACAGAAGGAGAAATCACTCTCCTCATCTAGACCAGAAAACTCTTTAATCTCATCACTACAACCAGACTCTTCCTCACAACATTTACAACGCTCGTTGACTAGACTCAAATCACAACCATGACTCAAACAACTCTTAGGACATTCAATAGCAAACCCATTACAATCCATACACTCAACTCCCACAAGCTCATGTTCCCTCCTCTCGAATCTCAACCAAGCAGACAAAACAACCTTACAAGGGACATCAACAGCGTGTCTCCTCGCGTTGATCAAACACCTACGCAAGAGCTTGGCGTCCCCAAAGCTACGGAGAATACTGTACTGCTCAAGGTAGAGCATCGAGGAGGAGGAGGAGGTCTCTGACTCAGAACTTGATTCAATTCTTCTGTAGAGATTCGATAAAGACTCAACCAAGTCGACGGGTTTGAGGTAAGAGTCCAAAGGAGGCTCGAGGAGATCTGTCGTGGGGAAGCTATTAGGGAGAAGTGAACGAGAGAACGATTTGGAAGTTGATTTGGGATGTCTTAGGAAGTTTAGGCGAGGGCTCTGGCCATTGGTGCTTGTGGAAGGAGAGTCTTGTGATGAAGTAAAGGCGTGGATTTGAGTGCTCTTGAACCTCTCGAATAGTTTTAGATTGCGCATTCTTTGAATCCGGAGAGAGATTGGAGAAGGGTTTGAGAGAGGATACGAAGAAGAAGCGAGTGGAGAGAGGGAGAGGGAGGCTCTGTACACGATGGAGAGTGTGATTCGTTTTAAAAGAAAAAGGTTAAGACTTTTTAAAGGAGAGAAAAAAAGAGAAATTGGTTTCGGTTCTTTAAAAAGAAAAAGGCAGAACAGTTTGCGAACTTCACTGACTAGTTGGTGGTGGTTTGGTTCCTAAAGGATGCGCTACGAACCAGACCACTTACCTTTTCTCCTTTCTTTATTTTATACTATAATGATTTATGTAATTATAATTATAATAATAATTATTAAATATCATAGTCTAAACTTTAATCGTATTGTTTGGCATTCGAGTATACAGTTCTGAGTTAGGTCTTGATTGGCATAGAGCTGATGATAACCAATATCAGTATACAATAAAAATAATATATTGCATAAGCTTCTTTTTATCAAACGATTGTATGCTACTTAATAAAACGATTGGTAAAACAATAACATCATCTATTTAAAATAATTATAAAAATTGTTATCTAATATATAATATATTTATTTTAAGTAATATACATATTATTTATTAAATTTATAATATATATATATTAGTATATAAAACTATGTTCATATCCAAAACATAAACTTTATATTTTAAAAATATTTCAAACTTAAAACATAATTTAGTTTATATAAGTTTTATTTTAAAAATTAAATTATATAAAAGTTATGTTCATATCCAAAAAAATAAATTTTATAATTTACAATTAATACATTTTTAGTTTTTAAATATTTTACATTTAAATCATAATTTAATATATAATTTTTATTTAAAAAAGATATATATATTAAATGTGAAATATTGTTATTTAAAAAAATTGTAAAATTATTTTTAAAATAGAAATTTTATTTTTTGATTTAAAGATAACTTATGATATTATTAAATAATTTAAATTAATTTTTTTTTCTTAATTTTATAAATACGTATGATCTACCAAAAGTTTCATATGAAAACATTGAACAAAAAGAATTTAAAAAATATTAACATTTGATAAATGTTTTCCTAATAACTTTAAATTGAATAATAAGAAACATGATGCTTATGATAATGTTCCGTCAATTAAATTTTTATTTGGATTTTGGATTATTCAAGTTTGAATATTTAGAACCCGTTCAGAATTTTTTTTTCAATTAGATTGGTTTGGATATTTTCATAGATTTATGTCAATTTCTACTATTTTTATATTTGATATGGATTCAAGTTAAAAACCCAAAAAGAACGACAACCCACCAAAATCCCCAGTTAAACCCAAATTTTTTTTATTATTAGATATAAAATTATTTTAAAAATAAAAATAATTAATATTTTAAAACAATTAAATTATATTTTAGGTATTCGATTATCCGTTCGATTTTTGTTTCGGATTAAGTTCAGTTTCTGGGTTTGAAGAAATAAAAGCAGTTTAAATTTTAAAAACATTTGATCAGATTTCAGTTTTGATTATTCAACTCAGTTCTGGTTCAGTTTTCAAGTTTTGGATAATATTTCCATGATTAGTTTAAAGAGTGTAAATGGGTATTCTGTATATAGATATAAGATGGTTGGTCCGTTTTAGTTATTGATTAGAATACGTCTCTCCTGAATATTCAACGCCCTGGTACATCATGTGATGCCAAATTTAGTTGGTTAACTAGTTATGTGGTCTTTATCGGTTATCTCCTACATTCGTGTAAAATCAATTCTACCAGTTTGAATAATCAACCAGACAATTGGTGAGGTTAGTTGTGATCTAATTGACAAGCAAATGAAGTGGTCTTGATCTCTTGGAAATTTAGATTAATGTACGTAAGCCCATACATAACACGATTTAGAAAAGTAATTTAAACCTTTTTATAATGTATTTCTTACTGATCAGTCTTGCTAATCATTTGGTAATATGTTTTTTTACTCAGTAACGTGACTGTGTTTGTTTGTGTTTACAAAAGAAAAATACTTTATGAAGTTTTATAGTTTTAGCTTATTAGTTAGACTTTTGATCTCTAACATGGATTTGGACCAACAAATCTCATCAACCGATTATGAAACATTAAAACTAAAAAAAAGTAGGAAAAACTACAAAACATTTCTGAGGGTATTTGCTCGCACACCTGGAAAACACATGCAAGTGTACTTTCAGAAAGATATACATGAATAGCAAAATAATTGAAGGATCTTTTTCTTTTTGTTTCTCAACAGCTAAATAATTGTGGATTAGTTTGGCATTATTTGAAAATATATTAATCAAACAAAAACTGGTATCAGCCACGCACACACATATATTTTATATAAATAAATATATAGTTTTATTTAGAATAGTTGTAAAAATGAATAATTAAAAAGGCAAGGCAAGAAGAGTTGTGTGGTCATGTGTCTCGGCAACCCATGTGAGGGGAATCTGAATCAATTTTCTATGCTTTTTGGAAACTATATGTGTATTTGAAAGGATGATAACGAATCGTGTCATAGCTGAATTATTAGTTCTGACTTTTTTTCTTGACATATGCACCCAAAAAAAAGAGTTCTGAAGAATGATTTGATGGAAAGATTCATGAAGGTTTGATTTTCTGACTCTGTCTTCTAAACAAGCTGACTTATTAGCAAATATAAGCCCAAAATAGACCCATCATCACAACATATTTGTGGTCCGGATCATTGATCGCATCGGAACGGGTTGAGTTTGGTTCATAAAGGCAACCCATGACAAGCAGACTAAACTACTTGGGTCCCTCCCTATTGGAGTTTTAGTTTTCAAGGCTGTTTGTGGCTTTAACTTGTTTTAAAAAATTCTAAAGTCTAATTTTGTTTAATCAGGCTTTAACCCCTTAACCGTAAGTCTTCCTTAAGCCTAATCTTTGTATTTGTTCTTCTTAAGATCACTTTTCTAAAGCCTACTTATTACATGGGCTTAAGTAAAGCTTCCTGGTTTACAAAAGAAAATCGGACCTTTATAGGAGGAATATGGTCTTCCAAAGAAGATGAGATTTTAACTGAACAAAACAGATTCAACCGAATATTAGAAAAAAAAAAATTACTACATTACCAGTACGAATAGGCTGAAGAAGAAGATAAAGCTCTACAATCTCAGGTTCATTAATTTACCATCTTTTTTAAAACAACAAAACGTTACAATGACTACATACACTGTTTAAACTCGCAAGGAAAAAGAATATGAAAGCAACACTACCAAACCAAATCAATTGGTACTAAGTAACAGGATCAATAACCTTAATGCAATTATTAAAAAATATTTGTTTGATAAAAGGTTGTTTGGTCGTTAGGGGATATAAGATTCAGCAGAAAAAAATGGTGGCTACGAAGAGCATCTCCTCCTCTTCCCTTGTCCTTGTTGACTCTTCTTCTTCACCTTCCTTCTTCTCTCCGATTCCACGATTCCTAACTCTTCGAATCGCGCCTACAACTACCCTTCGATCAACAACCTCCACGCTCCGCAGGTCTCCTCTTACTCATAGGAGTCTATCGTCTTCGCTCGCCGTCATGTTTCCGGATAATTCGGTACTGTCGGATGTCTGCGCTTCCGGGATCACCAGCGTCGTGGCGGTCTCTTGCCTCGGTTTCTGGGGAGAGATTGGCAAACGCGGCTTCTTTGATCAGGTTCCCATCTAATTTTCAATTTCACAGTACGTACATCTAGAATGCCATTGGATAAACTTGCAGTGAAGAGAAAAGGAAACTAAACCCTAAAAATCTGGTAACTTAGTTGTTGTGTAAAAAGTTCTCTACTGCACTGCTCAGAAACCAAATTGAGGATAGTATATTTTCGAAATCCGTGAGTATAATCATGACATTATATTAGGATCATCAGTAACTTGAATAATTAACCATGTTTATGAAGTTTCTTAGGTTTAATTGTTGTTTACTACACTTTGAATTGACTGTTTCTTTGATAAACATTTGTGGTTTTAGCTACTGGAGCTATTTAGTTTCTCTGACCTCATTGTGATCAAGAAATAACACAAAACACCATTCACTATGTAAGAGCCATAGTTTTCTACTAGAGTTTTCATGGCTCTCTTGAGTTTGGAATTGGTTTAGCTTAGCTAGCATATGTGACTAACCTGCTTAAAAATCATTGGCTTGTGTATTCAGAAACTTATCAGGAAGCTTGTGCACATCAATATTGGTCTTGTTTTTATGCTTTGCTGGCCACTCTTCAGGTATTATTATTATTATGGATTTTAAAGGCTTTTCTTCTTTACTATGTAACTTCATTACCAATTATTTCAGTTCTGGACCTCAAGGAGCGCTTTTCGCTTCTCTTGTACCTGGACTCAATATTGTAAGGATGCTCCTCCTGGGGCTTGGAGTCTACCAAGACGAAGGTACTATCAAGTCTATGAGCAGACACGGTGATCGAAGGTATTAGCTCACTTTGTACAAAAAATACCTCTCACCTATTACTTGAGAGTGTTAGGCCTACACTCCATCATCAAAATTAGTCTATAGTCTCTGTTAGATCATCTGTGTAATATCATCACACTCGTTGTCACTTCACAAAGTGTCTGTAGTTGCTTTCTTCATCAGGGAACTTCTTAAGGGACCGCTTTATTATGCACTCTCAATCACATCCGCCTGTTTCTTCTACTGGAAAACATCCCCTATCTCTATTGCAGTTATATGCAACCTCTGCGCTGGAGATGGTACGTACCGTTTAGCTTTGGTTTTGATTCAACTACAAATCGTTTGGATGATGAAACTTATACACTCATTTGCCCTTACATCATGTTAAAAAGGTATGGCTGACATTGTTGGGAGGCGGTTTGGAACAGAGAAGCTCCCTTACAACAGAAACAAATCAGTAGCTGGTAGCATTGGCATGGCAATCGCAGGGTTCTTAGCATCTGTTGGTTATATGTACTACTTTGCTTCATTTGGTTACATGGATAGTAGCAAAGGGGATATGATTCTTCGCTTCTTCATTATCTCTGTAGCATCGGCTCTTGTGGAATCACTTCCAATAAGCACCGACATAGATGACAATCTCACCATTCCCTTAACCTCTGCCTTGGTCGGTACTCTACTCTTCTAATACAGAGTCGTCCAGCTTGATTACCTCTATGTTGTAAAGAAACTAGATTCTTAGTTGCCATGTTTTGTATATGTACTTGTTAGTGAAAAGACATCATATTGCTGTTGCAGTTGGGTACAAATGCTGTAATGTAGTGAGGAGATATAGTGACCACTAACATACGCTTCTACAAATTTGTTACTAGAAAGTCAACACAAGCTTGTTTGTTATTTGTTAGCCTTGTGGCTATTTCGAAATGGATTGTATGCTTACTACAACAGGTGATTGTGGCTTGACTCTACCGCTCCATGAAGCGTCTTCTTCAGACAAGTCGGAGTGGTGAGTGTAACGGCGCTTCAGACAAGGAAGCAAGACGAGGAACACGAGGAAAATAGCGAAGCTTACCACAAGAACCATCATCAAGATCTCACCATGCATCGCGTAGTGTCTGTCTCTTGTGAAGTGAACTCGCTCACCGTCTTCAGGGCTCAAGGCCTCCACCGTGTTGGAAGCTACCATTACAGGTTATCTCCAAAATATTTCTCAACTCCTTTTGCTCGTAGTCTTTAAAAGCTTCCTTTGTATGTATGGGAGTTTTGTTTTTCTCTCTGAGATAGATATTCAACTTGGGAGAATATTTTAATCGAATGTCACCACAGAAGAAGATAAAAAAAGTTTAAATATAAATATTCTTGAAGATAATTAGTAGATGGATTTTTGCATAAAGATTTGGTGTAGAAAGTGACGTTCGTGATTGGCAATACGTCGTTTTACGTTGAAAATCCTTGTCGTCTGGCTCCTATCACTATGCTTAGTGACCTTCCCGGAAACTTCCTCAGAGAAACTCCCGTGTCTTACATTCTTTGCCCCTTCTTCTACCTTTCTTCTAGGCCTGGGAACATCCGATATTTGGATCAGGTTTGGACTGGTTTCTTTTGAATCCAAACTCTTTGGATTCTAGATATTTAGATTTAGTTATGTATTTAAAAAATTTCAGTTAGAATTCGGATTGACTCTGATCTATAATTAGAAATTAAAATATTTGTAAAATACATGTAACTTTCGGATATGATATCTATAGAATCCAAGTCAGTTGGAGTATCAAAATTTAATTGATATTTTGCTAATTAATCTAAATTTACTAAATAAGCAAAATAAACTATTAAAAGTTTGACATTTAAAATTTCATATACTTGAAAATGTTACAAAATTAATAACATTATTGCAACTAAATCATAAATTAAACTACAGAAAACATAATATACTTTAGCTAGATCTATTCGGTTTAGCTCTTTTATCAGATCTATTCGGATTCGTTTTTTTATTATTATCGATTAAAAATTGTGGATCCAACTAGATATTTATAAATTTTTGGTTCAGTTATAGTCAGATATTTTTATATTGGTTTCGATTCAAATTTTCGGATATGGATAAAACGCTCATGCCTACTTTCTCCAAATAAAAACAAAATGTAGTTGCTATTTTATGTGTTCCATTTAAATTGATATTTTTCAAGCAATCTCCAAAAAGAAAACGTTGTATACATGTCTCTATTGATGGAATGATTCTGAAAGAGAGATTTGAGAAATAACAAAATGCAGAGTGTGTATGCCAAACCAACAAGAAGATTTGAATGGGCCTTAACATGGGAGTTTTATATATAGTTCCAGCCCAAAAGTGTACGTAGCTTAGGTTCATATTGTAGCTGTTTCACCAGGTTAACAGCCTTGGCATCTCAATCTACAGACTGAAATGAAATGACTCTTTCGGTATCAATATATTAATACATGCAACACCATACTGAAATTATAAACTATTAAACTTTGTAGCATCCTCAATCAAACAGTTCCCAGTCCTGTGGTATGATTGTTGAAGTCTTTGGAGCTAAAGAAAAGCACAGACTTGTGGACCTTGGCAAAAGCAAATCCTGCGAGTTTGCACTGCGGTTCATGTAGGTGTTTCTCAACCTCAGTACGTCCATCGTGCGCCCATAAGGCTCTGGACACGAAAGACCTTGTAAGGAGAGACTCAGAGAAACCATCTGATTTTCATGTTACCAAAAAAATAAGCAGAGGATAAAAACAGAGATTTTTTTTCAGGTGACTAACGTTCAGTTCACCTCTCTTTTCCTCTGCACTTTGAGTTCTCCCTCGGCTTCAATCTCATCTAGTTTAAGCATCTGCATCATAAGCAACTCTATCGACTCCACAAACTCCTTATCTTCAGCTCTGATTCCTCCTTGAACATCTCTCTCCAATGCAACCACCTCAACATCCACTTATCAAGCAAAAGTTAATAAGCCCTTAACCAAGTGGGCTGTAGTTTAAGTGACACCTCAACATCCATTTTTCATTCTCGGATGTAATCGAGAGGAATAAGAGCGGATGCTCGTGAACCGAAGGGCTAAGGAGTGAGATCTTTCAGATCGTGGCGCGAGAAAGCAAAGTTGTTGGTGTCAAAAACCGTAATCTCGAAATCAACGTCTAAGATAAACTTCTGTAAAGATAAAACTCGAGAAATCGTTTTATAAAACTCGAGAAATCATTTTATAAAACTCGGGAAATCGTTTTATAAAACTCAAGAAATCATTTTATAAATGAAGTTTCCGAACAAAGGAAATCCGCGGAAAGATTTGGAAATCGTTATCTCGGAAGAACGAAACGAACGTCGATTACCCGGTCATCCGAGTTAAGCGAAAAAACCGCATCCACCATAAATCGCGAGCTGGTTTGGCGGAACTAGCTCGCCGTACGGCAAGCTAGCCTCGTCCCAAGTAGCTCGCTGTACGGCGAGCTAGAAGCTTCACGGATAATCCTGAAAGCATAGAATGTTACTCATTTGATTTTTTATCCTTAGGTCGAAGGTTTGAGCATTAATATTTTTATCTAAAGAGTTGTATCGTCTTGTACAGTTGATTCAAGTGGAATTGTTTAATTAAAAAAAGGATTTAATTTGTTGGAAAGCTTAGCAAACTCATCACTGACTCTACCCATTCTTGCCTCTTCTTGGCTTCCCATTGTGTGATTACTCTTATCTTTACACCTTATCTTCTCCATCTGAGAGTGAATAGTTTAGCTTTTGTCTTTGTGAATAATACAAAGAATGATAGTAGAGTAAGCAATCAAAAAGTGACTTTGAAAACAACCTCTCAGCATATTTGATGTGTGATTGAGCACTAAAATATCATAGGTTCTATATGATTGTGGTCATTACAAAGTTGACGTTTCTCTTAGTCCATCACTAGTTTTCTCTAACTCTTAGTTATTGGTATGTATATGAAAATGACTAGTCTTTTATAAGACTGCAAATTATGGTGTGTCCTATTGAATGTGAAATGATATGTAAGCTAGAAGAAGATGCCAAGAGTAATAGCAGTTACAAAAGCATAATTTAAAGTTTGCAACAATGACAGTAAAACAGTAGATGCCTTGACGCCAAATGTGAAGAGAGTGATGTATGCCTCTGAGATTCTATCACATTTCATTGTCGCTTTCTACGCTTTTTCATTTTTTAAAAAATTCTTCATTTTCGCATCGCAGATATAGATTTTTTTACATGTAATGATGTGATCATTAAGATACATAGAACTTAGATTTTGCCTTTTCACTTGCAGAAGTATTCGACAAAAGACTCATGTCGTGATCGTAATCATAAGCTTCAAGCAACGCTTAATCAGAAATAGATTACCACTTTTGTAATTACATCTTTTTACCGCACGTGGCTTTTGGTTATTCATATTCCATTTCCCAAAATTTGTTGACAATAGTATTTTATAAGTAATATATTTATGAAGACGAATCTTGCGTCGCCGACGACGGGAACACTTTGCTACACTCCGATCTACTTCTACTACTACTCAACATCCTCATCAAAGAACTCGATGCTGATGACGTTGATCTCCGTTCACCTCTTGATCCTCCTCCACCGTTGATCTCCTCATCCAACACTTCAATTCTAACCTCTCCTTCTCCAACGCCGCCTTCACCGTTGCCAACCACCCCTGCTTTGACATTATCTTCCGGCGACAGTGAAATTCTCCGATCACCGGCGACCATGTTCTCATCTCCTCCGGCTGGAAACATCTGCAGAGTAGCCTCTGCTTCTTCTTCTTCCTCCACGCCATCAACTTCGTCGTCGTTAATGGCCGTTTTGAGATTTTCTTGATCAGAGACGGCGAGAACAGGGGATCGACAGAGAGGGCAAGTAGAGTGAGAAGACAACCACATGTCTATACACTCAACGTGAAACCCATGTCCGCAAAATCTCAACTTTCTTCCGACATCTCCCACTTCCCACAAACCAAGACATATCACACACTCCTCTTCCTCTTCTTCTTCGTTTTCTTCGTCTTTGTAAACAAACAGAGGAATAGAAGAAATGACTGAAGATTCCAAACCTTTGTCATCGCTTGTCGTACCCGCAACAGAAGCTTCACCATGAACACCTCCCAGTGGAACAGGAGGTATAATTCTTGTCGTTGTGACCGTTCTTCTCCGGATTCGTCTTCTTCTCAGCCTGTTTTGAGCGGCTAAGAAGTCTTGGTCGGAGTGTGACCAGAAAAAACGGGCGTAGAAATGGAGAAGCAAGACGAAGAGGACGACTAAGAGAAGGAAGACGAGAGCAGCTAAGAGGACGTTGGAGTTGTAAGAAGATAAGATGCTGAGGAGACTGCTTTTCGTAGTCATTGAGCCTTGTTCTTCTTCTTCCCTCATTATTTTTTTTTACTTCAACTGATCATGTTTCCTTTATTTGTAAGAAGGTTGATTATATATGTGTGTAAAGTGAAGTGTATAGGGAAAATACAAACAGATATTATAAATGCTATAAAAAGATGAGATTTAAAAGAAGAAATATGTATTGAGAACATGAAAGAAATTTATTATATTAAGTCGTTTTATTTTATTTATACACAAATCCCACATAATCAGGATATTTTGTCAAGAATATGATATATCAATTCTGAAAAACTATTTAAGGGATTTTAACCCTATTCTCCAACCAATTGCCTTTCTATTTGTCGTCTTTAAATTATATTGAAGAAAATAAATAATCATTGTAAAAAGTAAGTCATATTCTATTGATATATCATATATATGGATTACATGCATAATCTTGGTTTGGAATATTTGATGAAATGTGATGTGTAACGTACTTGCATAGAGCGGTTGTGGCCCTTGTGGACCTTTGTATTTTAGTGTGTTCTGGTTGCAACTAAATAATAGAGTGGAGGAGGTTGTGAGTTTAAAAGACCAGTGGGGTTTGTTTTAATTTGTATCCGTATCTGTATAACATTTATCATGAATCAATCACTAAATTCTTAACATATGATTCCATATCAGTCTATTTTGTAAACGTGTTTTATTATTTATACACAAATTACATTTAGGTTCAAGTGTTCAACACATCCATTACCATTAAGCAGAATACAAAATAGTCTCAATACATCATGAAATCTCACGTTGCGATTACATATCTCCTATATTGTCATTTAGTTGAAAAACAAACTCATACAATGCATTACATTATTATTCTAAACATTAGTTTCCACTTTTTAATTTGAATGAATTTTAGTGACTCGTGAACTTTTCTTAAAACGGATTATCTTAATTGATATTTTATCTCATCACTTTATACTTCCACAATAAAGTGACATCAACATTAAACCCTGGAACGCGAGAACATGGTTAGGAGATAAACAAAACCAAGGGAGCACGAAATACTAGTAGAACAGAAGTGGGTAAATGGTAATGGAGGTCACATGAAAGCTAGCTTAGAAAAGAAGGTAAGTAGGGAGAGATCAGGAGATTTTACGTGAACATAAAGCAAAAGTGGAAGACGAGGAACGTTATGCAACTTCTAGTAAACATCTTTACATGTTTCTGTGTTAAAAATCTTGTACTATATTTTATTGTTAAATAAAGAAAATAACATATGATTTGATACCCATATACACTTCCGAAATATATATTCGCTGTTCGCAGGGCCTAACCACGAGGATCCGAGGAGGGTGACACTTGTTCAAGTCTTTAAAACTGGCTAACTCGTCAAGGCAACGGAGTTTACCCAATAAATCAAAGAACAAGCCCCATAACTATTTTCACAGATTTTTTTTCTAAACTATTTAAGAGATTTTTCTTTGTTTTCATTTCTCAATAACGATAGAATTATGCTTTGCAAATTTTGTATTATTTATTATTTTATAAAATAAAATTTTTACCTTCTGTTAAGAATCAGAGTTTTGTTGTTTTGTTTTATGCGTTATGTCACATGTAAATGGGATGTACATAGTACTTGGGTGATAATAATTGTTTTGTCAATAGTTGTAAGACAATGACAATCCCTGAAAATGGCAGTCATGAAAATAATAAGAAAGATATAAATGTAGATAGGTGAGGACTATTTTGCTGCCCAAAAAAAAAAAAAGATAGGTGAGGACTGATGAGGGGGGATTATTATTAGAGTCCAAGAACTTTATTGACCAAAAGTCACTCTTCTTGCCATAAAATGAGGGTTGAAGTTGCAGTTGCAAACAGCACCTACTCCTTATTTTCAGCCTTCCTTTTTCCAACTTCCATGCATTTTTGGCCTTCTTTTTGACCTATTTCGTTTTTGTCATGTTAGTGGTTAGATATTAATAGTTAGCTATGCTGGTTCGGTTCACAAAATAGACCTTCGGTATATAGATCCAAACCAGAACCCGTTTTTATAGTTTGGGTTAGTTCACCTCATTTTTTTTTAACACTAGTTCACCTCATTTCTAGAACTCAAAAAAACTAAACTAATAGTCTATTTTAACTATTTAAGATGTATGCTATTTTTTTTTGCAAAAAAAAAGATGTATGCTATTTTTTTTTGCAAAAAAAAAGATGTATACATTTTCGTAAATATATTAAAACAATATAATTTCTAATGAGTTATGAATTGTTAGGTTTAATTACACCAAATGAGCTTTTGATTCGGTTTATTTGATATATAAACTTTTCTTATGGTTTAGATTATTATAAATTTTTGATTAGGTTTTGAATTGAAGAATATCAATTGGATTGGATATGTTTTCTCTCCATAAAGAATAATATTAGACAACCATGTACCTTTGACCAAAAAAAAAGACAACCATGTACCTAACATCAAACCTTGAATATATAGTTTACCTCGGACATCAAACCTTGAATAAACTATATCATACATTCGCTCTTTCTTTACTGCTTGCTATCATACATCACTTACTAGTAGTATTGTGAAGATTGAAATGCATACAAGTGTACGTAGAAAAATGGGACATAAAAAGATGCAATTTGAATACTCAAGGCAATGAACAGCTCATAAGTGGTCTATTGAAATTTGTGTGGACAGAGGAATTAATTGGCGAGGCAAGATATAGAGAATGGCTTTTAAAACATGGTGTGTACATTTGTTGCTGTGGTGGAGCCGTTCGTATTTTGGGTTAGGGTCCGTCCATATTAAAAATGTTGGGCCCTAAATTAACTAACCGTTTGTTTTTACTCTTTTTTGGAACACCACAAACATCCCCTCTTTGCTGCAACAAAACAACTAGAAAGCACGTTCTTTGCTTTGCTATATTTACCAAAGATGTTGACATCTGCTTAGTAAACTTGATTGGAATGATTATGTGCAAGTCAAAGTAGGTACTCTATTCATGGTTCACCAATTGAGGATAGTAGATTATGGTTTGAAGCAAAGTTGAAAGCTACAATACTAACAATATACTATACTAGTATTTTTTTTTTTGCAAACACATATGCTAGTATCTTAAACCAAAACGTTTAGTGATAAGACCTACAACCTCACACACCAACCAAGTCTTGGACAATGGCCTGATCTTATCTCACAAAGCTGAGAAGAAGAGTTAAACAGTTCCACAGGTAATCAAAAAGATGCGTTCTCCTTAAAACTACTACCCCTACAAAAGCACTTGTATTCCACGAGTATACTTACTCTCAATCAATAGACGCAAATCTAATGCAGAAGATTACTACTTGAACATATACATCTCCGATCACAAAACAGGACGGTGATGGCTAAACCTAATGGATAAAAACTCAAAGATTCTACAAGTACACTTACTCTCAATAGACGCAAACCTATGCAGAAGAGCTCATCCTTCAACTCGCCGTCTGAAAAATCAGTAGCGTGCCACAAACACGACTTGTCATTCCCAAATTGAACACTCGTCATCCCTGACGAAACTGCAAATAGAACACACATCGTATACGTAAGCTTTAGCTCGAAACAGCGAAACTCACTGAGGTGATTAGCGCAGATCTTTAGGGTTTTAGATTGTCTCATGAACCTTGCTAGTATGCTTATGCTTCAGCAGCTTAACAGTTCCAGCTCCTCTCTCCTTCCATTGTTTCCCTTCTTTAAGCTTCGATTTCTTGAGGATCAGATATCATATGAGAGATTATACAAAACGGAGCAAGAGAATGAGTACATAACATTTCGAGGACGGCGACTTTATCTTCCTCGCCGGTGGTGACTGCAACTTCCTCAAGCCTGAAGATCGGCGGAGCTTTCTGAGCTCCAGTGTCCTCATCATCGTGTACTTCGGCCTCCTCTTCCCGGTGCTCGTGCTCTGGCTCAGTGCTCGTCATCTTCTCTGTAGAACTGTAAAACAGTTTGTGCTCTGCAACTTGCTCACTCGACTTGAGCCCATTAACGGCCCATTAAGAAAACAACACTTTTTTTGTCTAAATTCTAGTGACAACCATGCAAAAATAGCTATTAATTTCAGTAACCTTGTTTTTATAACACATTAGTCAAATTGGCACAAACATAAAGAGTAAGGGTAGATGAAATTAGTGGTTACTGTCAGATGAAAAAAAAAACAATTTAAAGGCACAAACAAAAATTCACAAGATTCCTATGTATTTGATTTATTTTTCTTTAATATTCTCCTAGTGCCTTGTAGTATTAGCTTATATCCATGCATTAGATTTTCAAATACAATAATAATGAGTTCTGTAATCTGCATTTGAAACTCACATTACATAACACAGAAAAAGATATGGGTAAGTGACTACCATACTGAAATCAGTGTGAACGATATGATTACAGATATGATAATTAATGTTGAATACAAGTGTCAACGCTATTCAAGTGTGCTAGAAGGATACATGGACTAAATTAAATATGAGTTACAACTTACAACCAATGAATAATCAATGTGTGTGCTGCATAGTGGAGCAAAAAATATGATAATACATACTTTACGTATGTGGATGAAGCTTGACGTGAAGTCATACAAATATACTATGTACAGGAGAAGAAGACCTCATGGGCAAGGAATGCCACAACATAAACTCATACCCATAAACCTTATCTGATGTCCTTTATCATGACTCTTGACTAGTTATCCACAAAACTACTATATACAATGTTAAATTAATATATATCCTCTTGGGTTAACTAAAACTGGTCATTATTGTATAGATTAAAGATAGATGATATTCATGAATGATCTCAATCTTTGAGACACATGTTACTTTATCTTTATTGTCACCTGTCATAGTTTTTTTTTTTTTACTATATATAATTTAAGTTTTTGGCTACTTTTTAATATCTCTATAATATTATTTGAGAAATCAGTTTCCTACGTGTCGCGTTCACGTTAACTCTCGCGATGGTTGATTACATAGATACTCTTAATGAATTGTTAGATTTTAAGTTTATTATTAATTTTTTTATTTAGTTTCTTTTTTACTTTTTCCAAATAACATACATAATAAAAAGGGAAATATTTCTAAAATTTTAAAACGAAAATATATGTATGTAATATGCTTTATTAAAAAGAAAAGTTCACAAAATAGTAATATACCCCATTAATATATATTTTTAAATAACATATAATATATTTTCAAAATAATAAAATATATATGTTCATGAACATCCAAAATTTATCCGTTACACTTTATTTTCTAATATTTTTAGAAATCAACATATAATTTGATAAATATTATGAAAATACTTGTATATTTAAACGATAAATAAAACTAATTTGGTTTGACTTAACTAAAATAAGGAATAAATAAATATTATGAGAATACATGTATATTTAAGCGATAAATATAACTAATTTTATTGACTTAACTAAAATAAAAAGTAATTATACTTCAATTTTAACTCAATATACTCACAACATGAATGATTCGATTAATCTAATTTATATCCAAAATTAAATATCTAACTATAATAAGAACATATAATTTTATAGTAATAATAATCTATTTAATTTTATACATATAAATTAGAGGTTGACTCAAAGCATATTAAAAAGAAAAAGGAAATATTAACCAGTTACAATTTATTATTTTGTACAATTTATATATAGGCATGAGACTTCAAAATATTATCATTATATTCATTTATGTAATTTTGAATCAAACACTTCAGCTTATTATTTATTTTAGTTTAAGCACAATATATATATATATATATATATATATATATATATATATATATTAAGTTATATATAATTTAACTATAATATATTTACATATCTAAGAATATATTTACATATCTAAGACAATAACCAACCGAAATGAAAATAAGAAAATTAATCAAAGTTTTATTATATTTACAATAAAAAATATTATAGCTGAATTCAAAAAATAAATATTATCCAATATACCAAATTGATAACCAAACCAACTATTGATCCAAAAAATAATTAAACCGACAATAATATATCGAAAGTCATATGTATAATTAGAATAATATAATATTTATTAATATAAATTATACATATAAATTGATAGAAAACTAAAACTAAATATCAATCAATTATTATAATTTTTTTATGAATATTTATACCCGTGCATAAACACGGGAAAATCACCTAGTAACTAATAGATGTGTATGTATATTAATGTTGGTACAACATCATATCTTGGATCAAAACTCTTTTCGTGTGAACGTGTAGGTTTATATGAGAACAAAAATTGCCAACATAAAAGATTTTATTTATGAACATTTGGGCACAACACATGTACAATAACATACTACATGCGACTATTATCGCTAAGTCGGCTATATCCAAACCCGTGTTCTGAGACACACCACAACCGCAACATTGCGGCGGTACATTCACGTCCGTACGTTTAGCTTTCACGTATTTACAATCTTGCCACCACAGATATCCAACATTGATTGGACAAAACGTCATCTCCACTTTAACTATTTGCCACGGTGGCTGACAACTACACAATGAACTTCTCGAGTTCCTCACCGTTACCAGTTCCGTACATGAAGAATCAGGAACAAGCTGACGTGTCTCCGAACCTCTAACCACCAACCAACCATCAGATTCCCAAATTACCCCTCTACTCCTCGCTAAAGTACCGATCCTCTCCCTGGCGAAACTCGACTCGGGCACTGACTCACTCACCACTGCTTCTTCTTCTTCTTCCAAGTCGACCCAGTCCAAAACATGCCGCGGAGATTCCGACAAAGCAGAATACGAGAGGAAAGGATGTCGCAACAGCTGATCGCAGCTCCATCTCTCACTCGGATCTCTCCTCAGACATTTCTCCAGAAAGCTCCTGCCGGTTTCCGATAACCTCGCCGGAAACTTCGGTAACTCGTCGGAGAATCCGATCACTCTCAGAGTTTCAGCTCCGACGTCATTCCACGGCGGTTTTCCGGTGACCATCTCGATGATCGTACAGCCGAGAGACCACACGTCGCTCTCGGGGCCTTGACATTCGCCTCGAACGACCTCCGGCGCCATCCACAAAGGACTGCCACGTGGCAGCATATGAGCATCGCACCCTGTTTGAATATCTAAACCGGAACCGAAATCGGCGAGCTTAGCAGAACCGGGTTCTTCTCCAAGTAGAACGTTGGTTGCCTTCACATCGCAGTGGGCAAAACCGCACGTGTGAACGTCTTTCAACGCGGAGACCAAACACCACGTGAACCGTCGGATCAGATCTTCTTCAAGGTCTTGACCCGCTACGTCAGCGAGAGTTCCACGTGGCATGTACTCAAGATGAAGGTTTCTGAACGACCCGGTTTCTTCATGGGTCACGTCATCGCCAAGGAACCTCACGATGTGTGGTGATGAGACAGAGTGAAGGATATGGATTTCGTTTTCCAACGAGTCGAGCTGACGTGGGATACAAGTGGTAAGACCAACGGATTTAACGGCGAAGATATGATCGCCGTTGGATTTGTTGACGGCGAGGTTAACGGTGCCGAAGCAGCCTCTGCCTATGACCTTGCCTCTGAGCCACCAAGAAGAAGAAGAAGATGTATTTGAAGTTCTAAAGTCGATCACCATGACAGTTGTTTATTTATTTTTGGTATGAGAAACCGAAAGTGGGTGTGTGCATTGTATATACGCATGGAGTAATTTGAGTCTGACTTGGATTGTTTACAAATGGATATACACTGCTTTGAAATTAAAGTGTCGGTTTATACACAAGCATTGTACCTTGTGTCTGAAAGTACACAACATATAAGTATTTACTCATTTATTTTAAAAGGTACCATCGCCTAGGTAACAGAATTTGGCAACGTGTTACACATTCGAATATAAATTCCAGAATGCAATAATGCAAAGAGTTGATTTCGTTTTTTTCAAAATTGAATTGATGAATCCACTTGTTATCTTCTCGTCAAAGGACCGTTGCTAAGATCTTCACATATGGTACTTACAAAGACACGTAGTAATTGTCGATAACGTTCGAAAGATATAAAGTATAAACTGCATTTTGATATCAGTCAAATTCTATTTTTGGCAGACAACTGATAAAAAAAGCCACACGTTTGTAAGAAATGAAACCATTGAAAATGTGATAGCGATATGACATTGTTTCAACGACTCGTGCACCGAACAACTAAAGACACAAATGAATACTCTTTTCGGGTTTATAAGATATCCTCAAAATAGACACCCGCTGATAGCCTGATACATAAAAACATGTGTATGAACTGAAATCATTGAGAGATCCGATAATGAAAAGAAAACGTTTCAACGACTAGTGCGCACAACACACATGCTAGCTCGACCATGTCGGACACTTATCACACAACTCAGCCTTTCAAAGTACATACTGCTTTGAGGTGGAGAACATTTGAAAATTGAAAAGTAAATCTAAATTAATCTAGAAGGTTTTGGAACAATGGATGATATGTGCAATATGGAGGTTACTTGAATCAAATGACAACGCAAGTCAATAGTTGGAAGTTTATCATAGATTCCATCTTGTTTGTTTTTACCTTTTAGTATTTTTAATCACAAGGTTATCAGTTTATTTCAGCTTTCCAATTTTAAAAGTTAACACAAAGAGGTAGGGGTTATCCAAAATAGACGTCTAAGACAAAAATTGCTAAAGATGAGAGGCTGCGTGTCAACAGTGAATCCAACAATAATAAACTCAATTTAACAAGCTCTACACTTCGTATCAAACACATTTGAACCCTTGATTAAGAACTCAAATAGAGTTAAAGAGTTAGGTTCTACCGAATTTACGCTATCAAACAGCACTCCACGAGCTTCAACAATCCTTCGTTTTGAGATTGCTGTAATAAGAGACTGTGAATCTGACCAGATAGCCAGCATTCTTAATCCCAAGCTGACTGCTTCCATGAGAGCAGTTAACTGCTAGAGCTTCTGCTATGAAAAGTAGAGGCGACAAAGCAACTGTTTGATTTGAAATTGGGTGGAAGGAAACACATTTTCAACTTAAATACTTAATTGACTAGTGATTAGAGTCATTAGCCAAACGGACGGTCGACAAGAAAAAGATCATACTGATAAAAGTGTTATGTCAGATAACAAATCAATCATCAAAAAGGATTAAATCCTCAGACAGGGATAACTGTTTTTTGATATTTGTACTCATCATTCAGAACCGAATTTACACCACATCCTTCTGAATTTCTCAAAAAAAAAATGTGTTCGGCATGATATAAAACAAAAAACAAGATTAAGTTGCCCCTAATGAGATGCGGTCATTACCGAAATCATTACAAGTCTGTAAAATTGACTCATCACCGTTCTTCGCAGATACAAAACAGAGAATCAAAGAAAACGTTTGGTAAAGATGAGAGGCTACGTGTCAACACTATCAATCCAAAAGTAACAAACTCAAATTTCAAAACGCTACACTTAGTCTTGACATCATTTCAACTTCTATAAAATTGATTATAGTCATCGCCCAAACGCACCGCCAACAAGTAATAGATAAACTGATGTAAATGAGCAAGTGTCAGATTACAAATCAATCATCAAAAAGGATTAAATCCTCAGACAGGGATAACTGTTTTTTTGATATTTGTATTCATCATCCACAACCAAAATTCTTATTAAATCATTCTGTTTTTCTCAATCAAAAATGCATGAAAAAATACTGGACTTAAAGGTAAGAAGAACTCAGTCCCTTAGATGTTCATAATGAAATGCGATCATTACCGCTATCATTACAGGTCTGTAAATTGACTCATCACTGTTCTTCAGACATAATAACCAAACTATAATAAAATATGTAGCTGCTCAAGTTATTCTCACTAATCAGCAGCATTAAACTAGAATTAACAGTATTGATGCTTGAAGGATTAGGGAGAATATATGAAAAAAACAAAAGCAACACGAATGGTATTGCTTCAAGGGAACGAATCGTATGGGAACGGAAAAATCCGCATAGACTATCTGATGAAGCCAAATCTAGAGAAAAACTAAAACGAGTTTAACATCTTCTAACAAAGAGAAAAGCCCAGAACATGAGAAACAATGAATATTTCAGGACTGAAAAGAAAAATCTCTATTGCCGCTGCTAGAACCCTAGAAGATATCGACTACTGAGTAGAAAGCGTGAATCGATTCATTTATAAAGAGGAGTTTTAGCGGGATCAACGGTGGAGACGCGAGTCTTGGGAGTGGAACGGTTGAGGATAGGTTTTTGTAAAACCCTAAAAGCTGTTCATAGGCCCATAGGAGTGTACTTTTACAAGCCCTATAACTTAATTCTTTGAAGCCCATTCAATTAATCGTTGTTTATATTTTTATTATGTGTTTGAATCTATTACTAGAGATGGCAATTGGGCTTTCCCGTCCCGTACCGCAGCGGGTTCATCGTCGAGCGGGTCACGGTGGGCCTGTTCCGCGCGGGCTGCCGTCTTCCAAATCGCTACCCAATCCCGTACTACATAATTTATAAGCCTTCGCGGACCGTCCCGCGGGACGTCTCTTTCAGCTTCCTTCATGAATGTTAAAATAAAAGAGCTGAGTAAAGACGTTGAAGAGAGCTGAACAACATCGATCGCAACAACATCCAATGTGATCACTCGCTCTTTAATGGTCTTGAAGTAAGTGAGAGCCATTTGGATAGTAAAATTTAACTCTTTCAAAAATATTCCTTGTTTGATTCTTTGTAAAGCAACGTCTCTTCATAGCAACAATAACTTAATACTAATGGTTTTTTCTTCTCTTTTAACCAAGCTGTTGAACTTAGAGTGTAAAGACAAGATTCTGCAGTAACCCAAACTCTTATTTTGAGCCGTTTAAAAAAAAAAGTAGCTCTTCAACAAGGAGTAACTCTTTAACAACATCTTTGTAACAAAATTTAATTTTTTTTTAAAACACCATTTGGCAATACTGAAAACAAAACTCATCAACTTAAACAAGAAAATTCCACATAGTAATAAGGCAATTTATAGTATTGAAAACAAAACCAAACAGAAATGGGGACTTATAGATACGGGTCTTCAAAATCCCGCGGATTACCCTGTCCCGCATTCAGTCCGTCCCGTTTTGAGCCCGTCCCGCATTTGGCCCGTCCCATTTTCAGCCTGTCCCGCGAGGCCCGCAATTTTACGGGCTTATCAAATGAAGTCCCAATCCCATCCCGCAACAAGCCTTTACGGGTCAGGCCCGCAGTCCAGGTCTTTGATTGTCATCCCTATCTATTACGACTCGTCATAAAAACATTTTCGACCCTCTGTTTAGTTAGCCGTAATTCTATATATATCTTGTACTTTCAAATTTTCAATTAGTGTTCGAAAAATGTACCTTCAATTGTTAAATTTTTTGTCGGTGAATGTAACCAAGTTGATAACTACATTAAAACTCTGTCTCTTTTTCGAATTTGTTAGCAACATTTTCTTTATGGCTAAGTAAACAACCAACAATAACAAAATACGGCTAATTAAAAAACAACCACTCTGCTTTTATGTTGCATGTAATAAAAATTATAAATCATTAGAATGGAAAATTTGCCTCAAAGTTTCTACAACTGAATGCATCCGTAACCTTGGGATTCTCCTCGAATGCGTTAGAAATGTTCCTACTCGAATAAATTGATAGAAAGAAGAAGATAATAAATAAAAGGCTAATAGAAGAGGATCGTATACAGCAACTGATTCCATGTATCAGGGAGACCAGGCAAGCACCAATGGCTACAATCTGACTTGTCTGGCCTTGCCAGCTGTGAACCGCTAACAAGACCACTGTAGACAGAAGGGTGCCCGTCTTTTCTCATGGAAGAGAGGAGCGTTATGTCAAGAAGTAATGCTGGATTGTGCATCCCGTGAAGCACTTCAACAATCACTGATCTTAGCTGATCTGTGTATGGACTCACTGGGTAAGCCGCTCCTGTGACGGGCTCTGTTTCTCCGTAGCAGTTCTTGGATCCTGAAGACGATGATGCTGCCCAGTCACTCGGGCTGATCAAAACCACAAAACATATATACTCTTCAAAAACTGATTCTTTTAACAACTAGTATGAGTTAAGAAAGAGAGTGTTTTACTTGTCGTGTGTTGGAGAAATGGAGAGGAAGAAGACTTGAGTTCTGGATCTATCCACATTTGTTTCGACCCAATAAGCCCAAGTACGAAGAGCTTTCTCCATTGCAACGAAACGGTCCATGTCTTGGTAATAAGAATTGCCTGATTGAATCAAGTCCCATCTGTGTGTGTGTTTCACAAGGAGCTGTATAAGACAACATTTTCGCATTGCCAAAATAAATCAAATTCCAGTGAATTTGAGAAACTAACCCTTGTTGAGACCCGGTGTGACTCCACCAGTGACCAGTATTAAAGATGAGAAGATCAGCGTCATGCCAAGCATTAGCATTCCCAGAGATCTCCTCAAGTTTCAACACTCGCTTCCCTTGAACAGCATCAATATCCACCAAAAACGGAGCTTTATAAAACGACATTGTTATCCCATAATCCTACATCCAAAAAAAAAACAACTTAAGTACTACAAAACATGGTTCCCTAAAAGAAAAGAAACTTGTAAAAACTGCTGAGACATGTACCAAGAATCTGAAGGTGGAGAGAGGAAGGCCTCTAGTCATCTGAGTACGAGTGGACGGTGCAGATGACATAATGAGACAAATCAACGACTCCCATTGATTCTTCCCCAACGAATCACCCGCAAACATAATACTCTTCCCCTTCATCCTCAACAGAAACTCAGCACCATTGAACCTAAACCCCAACCATCAGAAAATCTTAAAGATACAAACTTTATACTCAGATTCATCACAAAGGAGCAAACTTTAGAGAAACCCAAGACAGAGAAAGAGTAAAACATACGTGGGCAAGTTGCAATTCTGAGGTTGCCATCGATACTTGAGGTAGTTAGAGTCAGGGCGTCCGTACATCTGACAATCGAACTCAGCCTCCACGACGGCGGGACAATCCGCCGGTTTGTAGAGAGGATACGAGTCATCATGGACCCACGAGCCCATGAAGAGAGAGCACGTGCTTCTGTTCCCTTGGAAAGAAGTTGGTCTGCTTGAGCTGTATTGGTTGCTACTACTGCTGCTGCTGCTTCCATGGCGTTTCTTTAAGCTTAGAATAATGGCTGAAGAAGATGGTTTTTGATGAAGTAGTAAGGGAAGAAGGAAGAGAATGGCGGAGAGTGAGATGTGATGAAGAACATTCATCTTTTGCTTTAACGGAAACAATGGAGATTGTGGAGAACAGTAGAGAAAAAAAAAAGGCTGTAATAATAATTGAGGAGAGAAAATAAAATATCTTTAAGAGAGTGTTTTTGGATTCATTTATCTCTGTGCAATTGGGTATGGCTGTCTGGGTGCTCACGTGGGTCCTCTCACTTCTGTAACTATTTTACAATTTTCAAAATTTTATTATTCGGTGAATAAATTTAAATAAACATATATAACCTTTGATTGATGTCAAAATATTTCTATAAAAGTTTTTTATTAGGGCTGAAGGATTACTTTTCCTAACTTTTAAATTTTAAAAAATTTATTAAGAATTTTCAAAAATTTATTTGATTGAAATATTAATAATATTAATATTTTATTCTTAAAATGATAATAAAATAGAATTTTCTATTAAATCGAAAATGTTGAAAAAGTATACAGTTTTAGAAGTTTTTCTTTGGGGTAAAATACAGTTATAAAAGTTTTTCTTTGGAGTATATTAAGACTTTAAAATTTTATATATTGGGGATCGAAGGATTAAACAGGATGTCTTTTGCTCCGCATGTTCACAACTGACTATAGATTTATAAACGCATCTGATAACTTTTTTTGAAAAACATGATCACAAAGGCAAATAATACTTTGCGTCCCCTTTCCAACTTCATATATAACAAAAAACAATGGGAAGAACAAATCAAGTGTCAGATAAGAGGTAAGCATTTGTTCCTTCATTTCCTTTTATTTTATTTAAATACATCTCTGAAAGGTTGATTCAGGCTCAAGCACCCCCAACACCAATCTGCAAATCTCAAACCTTTTCTTTTCCGAAACTTCTGAATATATAACTCGTGGAAACAAAGTATCTAACGATGCTTTCCTAAGCGGTTTAATATACCCTTCTTCATGTTAGCCTCCTACATTTTAACCTTCTTCGTGTGTAACACTTTAGGATTCGGTTCTCTTTCACCAACCTTTTTTCTTGTGTTTTTATTTCCCTGAATAAACGACAAAACATAGATTAAAACATATTTGTATGAAGCTAAGAGAAACTAATAAAATTATAGTCACACTCGGAAGCCTAATTTATCATCTTTGGATTCAACTAGTTGCCAAGAATAGCTGACATCTGAACCTTCTTTCTCAATTTCTTTCTGTAAACTTATAACTTCTGGATCTACTTTCAGCCAATTCTCAAAAGAAAAAAACTTATGGATCTACTGTAGATACAATTATATCACAAAGCCATGTAAAGCATCAAAGTCACAACAATACCACCAACTTTGTTAAAGGATGCTTACTTTCATGGACATTTACTTTTAATCTCTAGAGTCCTATTGCAAGTCTTCTATTTGTTTTCATGTTTTTAAAGTTATCGGTGTTTTTGGATAAGTTAATGAGAGGAGTGAAGGTTTGAACAACATACTCTGGCGGATTTTTAGTAGAGCTAGATTCCTCGAGATGTTTTTCTGCCTGGTGAACTTCTGATATATCATCAGATGCAGAACTGATTTCTATCCTAATGTTCTGTTCTGCCTCATGTACTTTTGATCTATCATCAGATGCAGAATTGTCTTCAATATTGATGATGTCACAGTTTGTTTCACCAAGAGACGCTGCATAATAGTGAAGATCTAAATTTTAAAATCATATTTAAGATGATTGGTTTAGATTCTGTAACATAGAAAACATGGAGATTAACCTGTACTTGTACTTGGAAGTGGATGTGACACACTGCTCTTGATCAATATCTTTTGGCACAATATTGTTCGGCCGAACTCCAAGAAAGTAAACCGCAGAAAGTCTTTCTTTTCGGGGATTGTCACTTTTGAAAACCCAAATGAGTTGGTCCATGTGTCCAGTACGCACGGAACTGCAGGCAGGACCAGTCTCTCAACTCCCAAGTCAATGAGCACCTGGAGAACACACATTTTTAAGAAAACAGTTAGAGGTCTTCAGGATAAACAAAAGAAACTCCTTCAGCTGAGGGCAGAAGTGAAAGCTTTCAATACTAAACACCTTTTCGAGTTCATTCATGAAAACCCGGCACATCCCGCGCTGGCGATGCTGGAATCTAGTACCAATGAAGGGAATTTCCGCAACTTTTTTCCCAAAATTCTGACAAGAGAACAAAAAGAGCAAGTCAGGGTAACAACTCAATCCATGTCCAAATATAGGCTATAAGATTCTAGAGTTTCTGCAACCTTAAAAAATAATCTAAGCTTAATGAAGCCTACCTGACAGTAGATACAGTAACCAGTTCATCGTTCCTTTCTAAAAGTGCCGTGTAAAATCCACTGAAGTTCAAACGTTTATATTTTGACCTGCAGTTGTCTCAGAGTTAGGGAGTCTGATGCAAAAATAATGTAACAGAAGATTCACACATGAAATAGTTTATGGTATTCTTTGGTTGTCTCTTACCATCTGCTAAAAATAACATCTTCAGCAAGATCTCCACCAGAATGACGTCTTTTCACAGGCTCAAAAAGTTCATGCATCACGTCAAGAGCTACACTGAGCTTGCAGTGGGTTTCTGCCACGGCTTCAATTTCAGAAGCGTCAGTCCCCAATGTATCTGATTCCACGGGCTGCCAGTCTCCAACTTAAATTCTTCTCCACGTCCAACTCTCTCGGTTTCCCAATAAGCTCACAGAGATTGTCAAATATCTGAAATGAAATTTTTTTTCGTTAGAGCAATTCTGTGTATGCCATGTCCTAGTTGCTGCAGCTACTGGCTGCAGTTTAGTTACTTTGCTGATGGCTGTTAACGGGATATAGATTTTCGTATCTCTTCACAGTCCCTGCTGCAAAACCACATCTCTGCCAAGAATTTATCAAATGAATCACCGTCACCATCATAATGCAAGCAGCTAGGGTGATCTATATGAACCACATAGAGAATAATTATATTATTCAAATATTTTTTCCAACCTTCGTAAGAGCACGAGGAAGAATTACGTACATTTACGTTCACACTGCATGCAGCTGATAAGTTTTTCCTCCTTGGCATCTTTGCTAGTGTTTTTGGCAATAAACTGTCCACAGGCATCACAACAACATGATGCGCAGAACCAGTCACCATCTGGAACATCCTACAATATTCCAACGATAACGCGTTAAGAAACCACAAGTAAAAGCTGTAAAATTTCCATTACGGTCTTATTAGTGACAATTGGTGAAAAAGATAAAACCTCCAGCCCAAGGCAATTTGCATGGAAAGCGGATGGACATCCATCGCAAAGAATCAGCTTCCCTCCATAGTGACAAACGGAACAAACTATGTCGTTCTCCCATTGACGCAATTTTATCTTCAGAAGATTAGGGGGTTGTGCTTTCTTTCTTGTTTTATAGGCTTCCACTTGGCAATCAAGAGAGATCTTCCATCGTCCAGGAAGATGTTGGCTGCCGCTCTGCAGGATCCACCACCATTAGCATGAGCATCAAAGCCACTTGTGGAGAAAACTTTACGGCAACAACTGCATTTTATACCTTCGCGAGTTAGTTTTCCCTCTTTTCTCACAGTGTGATCCTTTTGGTTACGACATCGTACATTTCCTCTTGGTAGAATCAAATTGTTTTCGATGAGCCAGGAAAGAACAGTACGTGGATTCTGATTTCTGGAGGGGGGAGATATTACCCGCTGCACTCTTTTGCTTGATCGTGTCACACGGATTTTACCACGACCAGTTACTCAATTCTTGATATATGTTAGCATTCTTGTAATTTGTCCCCTTTTCCTGCTCAGATTGACATCTAGCGAACCTACAATCATTTTGTTCTTCTTGGAGCTAAATCTAAGATTAGGTCTCTGTTTACGCTTACTTCTCAACCTTACGACGTCGTGACCTTTTGTTTTTGTCTCAAGCCTAACACTGAGTTCTCTTCTTTCAGCCGGGACAACGTTTCTGGGATAGGATTTGCCGCTTCTTCTATTGAAGACCTCATCTTTTCCTTGGCTTCCACACTCAAGCAAGGTTTCAGCAGAAGACTTCCTTCCATCACCAAGAGCTACATTTCTATTATAAGCAGGCAAAGCCAAAACAATGCTCCTCATTTCCTGGGTGTTGTACGTCCAGTTTTCACAAGGCCGACAAAGAGGCTGAGCCAACTCCGGTGGAGTCAGGGGCTTATCACGTTGTTTCAATATGAAACATACTTGACGAAGGGACTTCTCATTTAGCCTTCCGTCTGGTGAGAGGTAGCGAAACCTGTGCCTTCCACCTTCATCAATAATTTGTTCTATGGCCCATCCCATATACTTAATATGCTTCATAACATGGAAGGCCACTCTCATTGTCGGTTCCCTAATATAGCTCGTCACAACTTGTGGGCATGATTTAGCAACACAATCAAAAGGTTGCCAGGTTCCAAGTTTCTTGGGTAGTATCACCTTGTTATGGTCGGAAGTAGATTTCTGGCTGGAAAGTTTTGTTACCCCATTGATGTAACTTTCCTCCGACCTTACGCCAAACACATAAGTTAAGTTAGGCATGGACATGCATCTGTGGCTCGCCCGTTTGTGATCTTTATCATTGGAGAAAAATTGTTGTTCTTGTGGAGTAATCACTTCTACTTCCACACCACTTGGACAAGCACAGGTCTCATTAACCGCTTGAGAAGCTTCTTTGAATAGCTCAAACTCTTGGTGTGAATATCTTTCAGCATCATAATCACGAAGAAACTGATTTAAGGTGATTTTCAGATTGTCCTCAATCACCTCCACCATCAAATCTTCCCAAAAACGCCTAACAGAGCAAGTCCACTCCCTGATCCTCATAAACTCAACCCTTACCCGTATATCATACCAAAGCTGCTTAACCGAAACAGGAAGATAGTTATCTTCCTCATATTCCTCAACCAACTCAAGAAACATCCATCTCCCACGACACTCCCAAGTCTCCGTAACCTCATCCCAATCCTGAGTAACACGCAAAGATTTCATATCAGCATCAGCTTCATCACCCAAATCAGGGAAAAAAACTCTCCTTTTCTCAGAACCGTTTTCTTGATCAAACACCACACCTTCCCACCAAGCATCACTGATGTATACATCAACACAGTGTCCATACGCAAGGCTGAATCTATCAACTTCCAGCTTTGGCGGCACAGGTCTTAAACGCCCACGTAAACTACCACCAGAAGAAGAGCTCAAACCTTCTACTACCTCAGAAACATCAACAGTGTCCACAAGATAATCAGTAGCATCATCAGAGAGGATGTGATCGTATCTGATGGTACGAAGGTGTCGCTTTTTGGAGGAAGTAACAGTTGCTGAATACCAAGAACCAAGAAAGCCTTCCTCAACACTTCTTACCTAAACAAGCCAAAAAAAACAGTTAACTTTCCACCAAATAAAGGAGCAATTAATAATTAAACTCCCAAAAAAGCAATATACTATATATATGTTTATATTAAGATTAGAGACTATATAAACTCTAAATCTACTTGAGATATTTAGAGAAACGCAGAAGAATTTCTGCAACCCTCGAATCAGATAATGTAACACTCGAAATTCATCAAAATCGAAAAAACCCTAAAACCCCTAGAGTCAAAAGACCTATCGTTGACCGAAACGGAATAGTCAAGAGGAGCAATGTCGTGGGGGTTTTACCTCAACTTTTTCACCGACGAGAAGCTTTCTCCGGCGGAGGTTTTGTCGGTCGTTGCTGTTCCAGCCGAAGATCGGCTGCTCCTCGGTCGCCGGCATTACGAGTCAAGTCAAGAATTTGGGAATAAATAACAAAACGCAGTCCTTTTTATCGTTTCTTTCTGAGTATAGAGAAGAAGTTAAAAGCAGCCTTTGCTTGGGTTGGGTGAGTGTGTGTGTGTTAGCAGCTTTCTCCCCAAGTAACGCTGTTTAATTTCTCCAATTAAGCATTCTGATTATTTAATTAAGTGTGATGTTTATTCTTCTGATTATATCATTCGAGAGAAGAAATGGAAATTTGCTATTTTCTTAATTAGAATTTCCAAGTTACCTCTTCCACCCTCCCTCTTATTCTACAGTGTACATATTGGTATCCAATAGAATGTTAACAATCACCATTTTTAAATTTCGTTACAAAGTTGTAAATCAGCTAAAAAGTAACTTTCCATTTACCTATTGATTAAAGAGAAAATTACATTATAAGACACTTTTTCAGTTTCTACTTACAAAAAAGAACACTTTTAACTGGAGACACACTTCTAACGTGTATAATATCTCTTTTGTCCTTAGCCAAATACAACTCATGTCTTCCTTTTCTTTGCCATTATATTTGTTATATTATATTTATCTTTTTTCTGTACGAAAGAAAAAGATTTTAGAAAAAAACAATTATTTTTGGAATGAATCTCTCTTCTCATGATTTAAAGGTTTATTTTCTCTCAATATTTTGTTGAATTTTTTTCAAAGATGTGAACTTAAATCTGGAGCCGATGATTCACTTAGAAGAAGAGGTGTTGGAGGACACAGAGTCATATATTTGTTTTTTTTTTTGTCAAAGACTCATGTATTTGTTTAAAGGTGATAATGAAAAGAAAAAAAATTTTGAATTAGGGATAAATGCAAATTAAGACATTGATTATCAGATTGCTCTCCAAATCGATTTTGATGGCGTCATATGGGTCTAATGAAGATTTCCAATCTCGCAATGATAGGATCTTCAGATCCCTAGGCTTCTCCCAATTTTCTTCTTCGACACTGCCATTACGAAAAAGGTGGCGGTGGATGCCATAGTACATGTGGTCGGTGGATACCCGAGTCGAAGGTTGTGGTGGTTGTGGATATGAAATTAGTGGATACGGAGGTGGTGGAGGTGGCGGAGGTGGTGGTTGTGGTGGTTGTGGACTGTGGACATAAAAATGGAGGATACAAAGATTGAGGTGGAGGTGGCGTTGATATCCGAATATAGCTTATGATGGTTATTGGTATGAAAGTGCTGGATACAGAAGTTGATACGGAGGTGAAGGTCACAATGCCAATGGATACTAGAGTGGAATTTTTGATGGTTATGGACAACCATCTAAGTCTACCTCAACGAAACAACCATCCATATCTTCTATAAACAACCATCCACATCTCTCTCTCTATGTCCACGAAATACATACCCATTTAATTATAATTTGAAAATTTTGATTAAATATTAAAATATAAAGTATATGTATATGGATATCAAAATAATGAGAAGAAAAAACTAAATTTATCTACAGTTAGTATGTATTTATTTATATAGTAGAAAATGAAATAACGATGAATTAAATATGATGGGGTAAATAAATTAAAACAAAGGTGATATCTATTAAAAAAAACAATTCTACGTTTGCAAGCAAGAAGGGTGGTCTCGACTATATTGCACATGATTTTTAGAGAAAGTGCTCTACAAGTAACTTGTGTCTTATGGTGAAAAGAAACACACAGATGTGTCTTATAGTGCAATGCACTCTTGATTAAAACATTTCGGTCTTGCTTTTTTGGTTTACCGGTTTTAGAAGTGTTTCTGAAAACAAGCCAATGGGTCAGAACTAGCCTTTATCTGCATGTACATCTTTTTTTTTTGTAACACCTGCTTAAACTACATCATTTAGTAAATCAAGAAGACAAACAGATGTGCCAAATATAGTTCATATAGAGATTTATTGTTCAAAATAATCAATGGTAAATATGATAAAGTTTTTTGAATTTGAACATAAATATTCAGCTATTGATTAATATATATATATATATATATATATTCAGCTATATTTTATAAAATGAAAAGAATAAAATTATATCTTATTTTATCTATTTTCTGATAATATCTATCATTTTACAAGAAAATCATTATATTGAACTAAATATGATAAAAAAATTTGAAATTGATACGTTAACATATTTATGTTAATAAATATAAAATATTTATTCTAAAAATATAATATGTTGGTAAATCAGGTTAACATTCGTAAACTATATAATTCATGTATAAAAGTCAATTTATCTAATTTTTTATATAAAGTAAGTTATTATATAAAATGAATAATTATAAAAAGTGTTAATCTAACGTTTTGAATTACAGATTATGATCATAATAACTTATAAACAAAATAATTTTCAAATATGTTGTTTTATACATAAGAAATTGGTTTAATAAGAAAACAAAAATTCAAATAAGAAAAATATATAATAAGAAGAAACATATATATGTGATGATTTGAATTTACGGCATTAAAACTATAAAGTTATTGTATTTAAAATAATTATACCAACATTTAAATATGTAAATAACATTAACAATGTATAGTTTGACCCGTAATATAAATATTATATATAAATATAAAAATATATACCCGCACGGTTGTGCGGATCAAAATCTAGTTAGAGTGAAGCCTCTATAAATTAATAATGTTGAGACAAAAAATTTTTTTTTATTAATTTAGAGAGATATTAATTTATCGATATACTAATCGAACCAAAAATTCAATTTGGAACTATAAAATTATATTATTTTATAAAGATATTTAGTATATATTAATTTATCGAGTATTAATTTATGACTTATTCTTGGGTTCACCCCCTAGGGTGAACCTCTAGATTCATCAACCAATAAGATAGTGTTACTTTATATTTGATATCTTTTAAAAAGGGAAACAAAAATCTTGTCAAGTTTTATTATGTTTTTAAAATAAAAATAGAAAAAAGTAAATAAAAATAATAATATTTACAAAAACGAAAAAAATCTTTAAAAAAAAATATTTTAAGATTATATTATGTTTTTAAAATAAAAAGATAAAAATAAAATAAAAACGGTAATAATTGAAAAAAAAAACAATTTAAAAATCAATTCTTTTGATATTTCTTTAAAATAAAAACAAAATATTGTTACATTATATTATGTTTTAACATAAAAAGATAAAAATAAATAAAAAATAGTATAATTGGTTAGTATTAATTTACCCAAGAGTTAAGATTTTTCCAAAGGGTTTATGATTTACCCAAGGGTTTAGGGTTTAGGATTAGGGCTGATGACAAGGGGAATATTGGAGTGGCTCAACATCTGAAAAAACTCGGTTGGATTGCTCAGACGGATCATATCGCTGATGTGACTCTTCTGCTTGATGAAGAGGGAAACTATCAGGCTCAGGCGGATCATATCGCTGCTGTGACTCTTCAAGCTGTGGCTCAACATCTGGCTCAATATCAGGCTGTGGCACTAGCACTGCTGTTTCAACAGTCGTTTCCAATTGATCAACTCGGTTGTTTTCTGTTTCTCTAGCACTGCTGTTTCCTCTTTTTTCTTTTTCTTGTGCCAGGATTCCCTTCATTAACAACTCGGTTGCGTTGATCGCTTTGGTAAAGATTGTCCCAGAAAATTGACCCTTTTTCTTCCACTAAAACTGCTTTCCACCTCCTTATAGTGGGGTGATGTGTTACGGGTTCGACGACGTGAGCCACGAGATGTTGCTCATCAACCTCAGGTAGCAAAATGGACAGAAAATCATGTAAAAAAAAGAACAATTACAGGATGCTTTATGAACCTAATAAACAAGATAAAGACGATGTGATAATCAACAAGATAACTAATGAGAAAAGGACGATGTGATAATCGTGTTGCTTCTTGTTTTGTCACTACGTTTGCATTGAGCTAACTCCCTACCTGCCGATAAACTCTGGGCGAAAATGTCAGACATTCGTACCGAAAGACTCTCCGGAGATCATACTGATTATGTCTCGGGGGTCGTCTCCAAGTTCCTCTTGTCCTACTGACAACTATGTGGCCGATGAATCTTGTTCGGAGTCCAGTTCTACAGTGTCTTCTCCTGATACCCTGTAGAACGGGTGAAAAAGGATTCTAGTTCATTTTTTTCAAGCTGAATCTTATTATCTTCTTAATTATTCTCTCTTTTAAGCTGAATCTTATTATTTGTTCATGCTGTAGGAGCTAGCCAGTTTCGAAGATGATGGGGAACGAAGCTAATGGTCCGAAGCATATAATGAGAATTTGTAGGTTGATGGTATTCTTTTTGGTATGTTATTAGGGAAACATGTGATGTTTTCAAGTATTTCCCTCAGGAAAAACATTTGATGTTTGATGGAGTAGAACTATAGTTTGTTATGTATGTTGTTTATCATGTATTTTTTGTTGTCTTGTTAGTTATCTTGTTGATTATCTTGTTGATTATCACATCGTCTTTATCTTGTTTATTAGGTTCAAGTATTTCCCTCAGGAAAACGATTAGTGTTCAATATACAATTTCATTTGCCGGGAAAACAGATAATCATTAAATTAATCATCATTTTTATTCTCATGTATTGTATATTGTTAGAAGAAATAATATTACATTTAAATAAGTGTTGATTTTCAGATACTTATTCTGATTCCGATCATATTAATTTGGGTTTTGGATTTTCGAATTAAAAGATTTCAGTCTCATTTTAAATTTAAAAATTCCAGTTTGTATTCGGTTAGGATCTTTGCAAATTTGGTTCTGTTCGGATTTCGAATATTCGAATAGCCGAAATATTATAGTTCTGATCAGGATCGGATCCAAATTTTTTTCAAGCTGAATCTTATTATCTTCTTAATTATTCTCTCTTTTAAGCTGAATCTTATTATTTGTTCATGCTGTAGGAGCCAGCCAGTTTCGAAGATGATGGGGAACAAATCTAATGGTCCGAAGCATATAATGAGAATTTGTAGGTTGATGGTATTCTTTTTGGTATGTTTTTAGGGAAACATGTGATGTTTTCAA